AAAGCGAGTACTCGACACACGCTACCCGATGTTATAGCAGGCGACCCACACACGCGCGAACTATCATCATAGATAGTGAAAAACTGCGCTACGTTTTTAATGACACGGTGGGACGCACAACGCTTATTGAACACACATCACTCACTTTACTAGTGCCAGCCCGAAAATAGAGGCTGACACCACCATCCTTAGCATCAAAAATGGAGGAGACATCATTTTTAACAACAAAATAGCGGCAACAACAATAACAGCAGCAACAACACAGTACCGGTAGCAACATCCAAATTAGCAGCAGTGAAACAGCGACCAGCGGAGAAATCCATGAAAATGGAATACACGCACTCACCCCTTAGATCACCCACAGACAACGTGAGTTAATTTAATGCTTAATTTAAATATATTCCCTTTATATTGTAAAGTGATGTATTTGTTTGACTTAAACGCATAATGAAGTATAAAAAGTTACTACATAAAATACAAAATGTTAAATTCAAAATAATTCACAAATTATAACAAAAATATACATTAAAAACTATGTTTTAATGTTTCTTTGTTGCAATTAGGATATAATATTCTATGCTCTTGGACACACAGTGTAAAAGTAACTCAGCTTTTTTATCGTTTACAGTTAAACTTTCATGAAAATCTACCATTAGCTTAACGGCTTTCTCTGCAGAGTCATTTATTACTTTAAGTGAACATACAATTTCTTTTCCATGTAAATAAAAATTATCAGTATTCCAATTACTTGGATCCAAATTTAAAAAATTAGTTTTGATATCGAATCGTTTAAAAAATTTCATACTGCTTTTTGACAAAAAAGAAGCTAAAGTTTTTTCTAAAAAAAAAATATCAATCACTCAATAGTCATCAAAAAATAAAGATATCAAAAATTATTATACCTGAAAATGATTTGTCAATATGACTCGATGAAAGAATAAAACGTTTTCTAGGGTTTATTATTGACTCATTATTAAGGGATACAACCATTAATTTTTTTATTTCGGTTAAAATGGAATTGTCCATTTCCCAGAAAATATTACACTCGCGAATAGTCAATGCTGCTTTTGCTCTTATAGTAAGATTAACAATTCTTAGGTTATAAAAAAAATTTTAGAACTTGTCCAATGGATGGAAGTTTTGAACCTAAAATTTGAGTAGTCAATGACTCTATTAAAAATATTTTATTGTCATTTCGTAATACTACGGACATTTTTACGTACACTAAAAGAAAAACACAATAGGAAGCAGTTCAACTTAATACGCGACGTGAGCGACTAAAGTGGTATAAGTATGAGTTCACTATACCTATTNTTATAAGTATGTGTTCACTATATCTATTGCTGCGATTTGTAATAAATTTACGATTTCCAGAGTTTTTTATAATTTAAAAATAATAACAATACATTAATCCAGTCATACCATAGTATTATCGCCGTACTTGTACGATAAGTGTTGTAATGAACCAGATGATAACTAACAGAATCTAGCAATAAAATTCATATATTTAGTAAAAATCGTAATATGATCGAGTTATTTCAGCTATAGCAATAAAACGAATGGTTCAATGAAATTTGTACTTAATACTTTTATTTCGTAAAATTTAATTTTAAACAATTTTCGTATGAAACATTAGGTCGTATCACATATGGTTCGTCATATATGATAAAATATTCGTAAATATNTATTCGTCATATATGATGAAATATTCGTAAATATGCCAATTTCGGCAATTTTACGAAATATTATGTATTTTGACATTTTTCTAGAAAACTAATGGATTTAAAAGAAAAACTGTAAGGACTTAATTTATACAAAACAATTAGATCTACAATTTANTAAAAGAAAAACTGTAAGGACTTAATTAATACAAAACAATTATATTCACAATTTAGTTTTAATATTTTTTTTTGTGAGAGCGCTAATTTACGAGTTAATTGCTAAAATCTAAAAAAGTACCCCTTTTGGCCGATTTTCAACCCCAAGTCGGCACGGGTTAAACTAATCTGATCGGGCTGAAATTTTTTGTAGCCACTTTTTATATGTATACACACAAATTTGGGGGGGTGAGCCCGAAGAATTTCCAAAATTTTCAAAATAAGGGACACCCTAGTATTCATATATTATAATTATAAATCGGGATATAAATAAAGAAATCGCAGATCATGTAGCTTTTGGAATAATCCACCAATTTTTTAAAATTAAAAACTATCTAAAGATTTGCATCGAAGCGTTTCTTATGATAGTGGTTTTAATCACTGTCAGATATCATCTATATTTGTCCCAACTATGCCACATCCATACTGTGCCGCAATCCCACTGTGTTAATGCTCTTTTTTGTATAAATTATTTTGTTTGATTAACCCCCATTTCATTGTTCTTCTTAACTTAAGTGTTGGATATCAAAATTAAATATTTTTTTGTTATGTCTACTTATTTATTTAATAGCGCGAAAGAACCTTTTCCTGACACAGCGGTGTCAACTACTCATTATTTACCGCTGACCGCTAGATAAGGCGATAAAAGAGAAATATAATGAAAATCGAATTGTTTATCAGTATTGATCCCTTCCAAAAAGACTGGCCGTTATCGATTTGAAATTACCGTTATATTGGTGTTGGCTCTTTTCCATTCCTTCTTCTCTAGGTGCTAGAGTGCACACGTTTATTGTTTTATTGTCATTTTTTTTCAATAATGGAGTAGAGCCGCCAACGGCAAACGGCCACGTCTTTTCGGCGAAGCATACAGACCATCGGATAGGTCTCTTCGGAGACCGGGTATCGTTTTCTTTTATATATTAAGTTGATGTAATGAGCATTATTTTATTAATTATTTTATTTCATTTTTATTTTATCGTAAATTAACTTAATTTTGTTTATGTGTGGAGATCACATGTTTTCCTTTTCTTCTAGCCAACGCTAAGGAGCGAGTGTCCAGACCGCTCCAGATGTTCTTCATTAATTCCCGATTAACATTAACAGATCTGTTCCAATACCGTCCTTGATGTTTGTAATATTATTTGTTTAAATATTTTATTTTATTTTTGTTGTCTTTATTTGTAGACATGGTTTTTAATTAATTCGCATTTTTGTTCATGTTTAACTAAATTTTATTTTTTTTAACAATTAAATTATATTTCCTTATTAATTTCAACTCTAATATTTATTTTATTGCGCAGTAACATAATTACTCGCGTGTATTTTATCCCTGTTCCTTAATCTAGACACAGGATACGGTATGTTTTCTATATCAACCATATACAATTTTGTTTGTCATAATTGTGTTTAATAAACCACGAGGTATTATAGTAATTTATACATATAACGACATATTAACTTAGATTATACTTTTAATTAACTTAAAATTAAATTCCATCTATTGTTCGGTAATCATATTTATTTATTTATATAATTCAACGGGCTGGGTCTTTTTTTAAATAGATATGTACAATTTATAAGTGTTGAATAACGAATTAGTGAAATTAATGTCCTTATTGGCACAAGACATTAAACGCCTTAATGGCTCATTCACTAAATAATTGGTGGAAGCATATGGGACAAAAAAGGGAGTATAAGTTTGGATAGAACACTGTGAAACCTTGAAATGATTTAGTGAAATAAGTTCAAAGGACTCAACATTACCATTAATTAATCCATCTAAAAACCTGATACCTGCATCATATCGCCGTTCAGTCAAAGAAGGTAGGCCTAGCTTATTGGCTATCGGAGAATAGTCGTGAGGTGGACATGGAACTTTTAGTAGGAAACTGACAAAACGTAAAAATTTACGCTGAATACGCTCAATCTACAACGAACTATTTGTTGCATGGGGATTCCAAACAACACAACCATATTCCAGTATTGGTCGTACAAGAGCACAGTATAAAGTTTTAATAGCAATTGTAGTAATTATATGAGGAAGTATTGAATTACGTCGATTTTAGTATAATATAAGCTTTACAATAGTAGTAAGCAATTTTTGAACTCTTAAGCAATATAATAATTCCATATAAAAGGGAAATGCAGGGTAAGCAAATTAATAATGGTGGGAAAAAGAATATAAAAGGGAAAACATGAAAAGTATAGGGGGTCGACACGGAACGATACGGAGGGAGACGAGACTGGACGTTTTTGTAGAAGAAACGTCGAGTTACGTGTTAGGTCGTTAACGTAAGAATAATTTTATACCTTTTTTTTTATAAGATTTAATTAATTTTGTGTTAAATTATTATATTATATTTTATTTGACTTTTGTGTTTAATACATTTCGTAAATAAAAAAACTATTTAAAAATCTGGATTTAGCGCAAATATTTAATATTCACGGTGATCTCGAAATTGTGTGTGTGTGTGTGTGTGTGTGCGGCTAGAGTCTAGGTTGGACTGCTGGTCCTTTAGTCAATCTTAATAATTAGTGTACGAGCTGGCTAGTGTTTGGGCTTAACCGTCCTTTAGTGGGTATAGTAAAAAGGTAGTTGTGCTGGTGGCTGACAAGGAGCCACCCTTCAGTCTGCTACTTTTGAGCTAGACTGTGCTGACGGGTCTAAACTCTACCCCTTTAGTAGTCCACTAATTAGAGAGATTGGGGCTGATCAGTTTATCCAACGGGAGGACTCGAGAAGAGCTCGGACGACGAACTCGTCGTCTATATATATATACATAAAACTTTAATAAACCTTTGTGTCTACGTTGGGGCACTACCGACGTACGACATAATATTGGCGCCCAACTCGAGGTTCGTACCGACACGACCCCTCGAAGTTTTTTCGTGGCATCGAAATTTGTGTGTGCGTGTAATTTCGCGTCAATAAATTGAACCGTCGATCACTACAATACAAGGATTACTTGAAACATTTAACCGGAAGACTCGAGGTTAGTGCAAAATATATTTATATATATATAATAATTTTATTTAGTTATTAAATTTTAGTAATTTAAAAATCTTCCCAGAGAAAAAAAATTTTTTTGTGTGTGTATTTATAATTTCTCATATGTCTATAATATGAGTAATATTGAGGACATAGAGGAGAAATTAAAAGAAATTTTTGGGGATAATACTAATTCAGAATTAGATACATTTGCTTTTGACATAATATTTTCTGACCAGGAACTCATTAATATTTTAGACGACGGTATATCACAATTGACTGACCTATTTAATGAACTGACCACAAAAACAAAAAACCATTTACACATTTTTAAAAGATCTAAGTTTTAATTTAATTTTATAATTATACAAATTTTTTTTTAATATAAACATCTTATTTTTTTTTTTAATAATAAAATAGGGAAAAAAAAGTTCAATAATTTTAATAAAAATTAATTTCGACTTTCTAGAATATTAATTTGATTACTTAATTATTATGATTTATTATGAATATTAATGAAATTCAAAAATTTAAATTAAACAAAATTAGTGATATATATTCATTAAAAAAAGATGATCTTATAAATTTGTGTAAAAGTAAAAACTTAGACGAATTAGGAAACGTAAATGACTTAAGAACACGTTTAGCTAGATACTTTAGAGCGCAACTTAAATTGTCAGATATAAAACCTAACTTAAGTCCAGCTGAAATTGAGCAAGTTATTCATGCCTCTTCTAATGATAAACTAATAATCGTAGAGAGTAACGTAGAACCAAGTGTAGAAGATAAATTTGAAAGTATAGGGGAAAAGTTATCAGACATCCTTATTGAAGAAAAAAATCATTCTTACGCGAATACTAGCGATATTACAAAACCGGGTCATTTTTATAATAATATTAATAACGCTTCGTCGGGTGATCAAAATAAATTAGAGGGTTCAGGTAAAGAACATTTTTATGAAGATATAGACGATTTAAATAGAACCTTTAAAGAGGAACAAACACCGGATAATCGTAATAACTTAACANAAACAAACACCGGGTAATCGTAACAACTTAACAGAGGGAAAAATTCTAGATTTACTTTCATTAACTAATTGCATAGAAACAATAAATTCAAATATTACAAGTATGGAGTCTAATAACCGATCTTGGTTGATGAAACCAGATTATTTTTCGGGTACTGAGGACGTAAGAAAATTTTTCAGGCAGTATGAAAAGGCAAGTGAAATTAATAGATGGAATGAGAGTGATAAAATAAAATTTTTGTCAATATTTTTAAAAGGGACAGCTAGTATATTTTTAGAAAACTTAGAAGATAAAAAATCAATTTGGACATACGAGGAATTAAAAAACGAATTTTTAGACGAATATCAACCAATAGGCTATTTAACTCTAATTAAAAATAAACTGGAAAAACGTAGGCAGGAAGAGTCAGAGTCAGTTATGAGTTATGTAACAGAAATTGAAAACTTATGTAGACAGTTAAATAAACAAATGAGTGAAGAAGATATATGTACTTATATTTTAAGAGGACTAAAAGAATCAGTATTGCATGCTATTTCGTTACATGATAATAGTAGTTTGAAAAATTTAAAAGATAACTTGAAAAAGTTTGAGTTAATGCAGTTTAGAATAAACAATAGAGGAGCCGCTGGTATCAGTGAATACACAGACATTATAAATAGACAGGTATCCCAACTAGATAAATATTCAAAAGAAAGAGAACTTGAGGTTCAAGATTTAAGGAGACAGTTAGATAGAAGAGATAGGGACTATAAAAGAGAAATAGAACGACTTAGCGATGAGATAAAAAATATTCAAGTTTTAGGTAATAATTCTAACAGGTCAGTATATTTTGAAGATCGTAAAAATAATAGTTATAGTAAGTATAACAGAGACAAGAGCTATGAGCGAAATAGAGAATACGCAGACTATAGACCTAATTATAGAGACAAAAGCCCATACCCTAGAAAGAATTACGGTAGTAGAGAACCAAGTTTAGAAAGAAAGTACGATAGATACAGTAGAGATAGATCATTTTCAAAGGAAAGAAATGATAGTAACAAGAAATTCAGAGATTTTAGTAATGATAGAAATGAGTACAATCGTTATTCTAGACGTGAGGACTGTGATAGACAGTCTTATAGATCACCATATAATAGAGATAACAGCAGAGAGAGACGGTCAAGGTCTAGAACACCAAAATTTCGTAGGTATAAAATAACGATCAAATGATTGGTTTAAGTAAGGTCACTTGTTTTAAGTGTAAAGAGGTAGGTCATTATGCCGACAAGTGTA